TCCTGCCCATCTTGTAGACTGGTGGTGGGAGGACCACTGGCAGAAGTCTTAAAGCGATGTCACCTGGTGTATCTGGAGAGAAGAATGTTTAGTGAATGAAAATGAATGAGCATCTGAAGCACCATCAGCAGGGTCATTTCAAACTAGGAGAAGACCTTTGGGCCTGCTGCTATTGGCTGGCCAAGTGAAGTTTATTTTGTCCTTGAAGACCACAATCCAGTTTTGAGTGAATTTCCCCGAGCAGACCTGGGGTTTAAAATGGAGAAGTCCTGAGCAATCTGTAGTAAAGCAGACAATTACTTTTCCATTGCAATTCATCATTAGTCTGGTGAACACCTTAACTCTCTAAGTCATCCTGACCGCAGTCTGGAATGGCTCTTGATGTTGTGCCGATAATGAAGGGGGCTGTGCTTTTACTGGTTGGCTCTCCTCTGTCTTTCTCACTCAAACACCCACAGCCACACACAGCCCCTGAGCCCCACCCCCTTCTATTACAATGGTTGGATTTTCAAATCCAAACAATGAGAGGTCTCAACCCAGAGGAAAGAAAAACGTTTGAGAGAACCAATCAAACCCCGTCGCACAATTTATGAGCGAATATTGCATTAACAAACAGCCTCATTTCCAGACCAGTGTGGTCACGCCTGTGCTGAGTCACGTGGGTCACGCCAGCCGGGCTAGTTAATCACAGAAAACACAATCAAATTAAAGTCTAATGTTTCTGTAAAAAATTTTAAAAAAATAAAGATATGCCTGGAGTATCGAGCAGACGCGAAAACTCTCTGAGGATCTCGACTGTCTTGGCCCCATTTTGTCTGGTCCACTGAGCCCTCTGGATCGCGGTCTCCTTCATGTAGTCCGCAACTTGTTTTGCCACCATTCGTTATCTGGGCTTCCCTCTCACATTTGACTCTGTTGTAAGCACAAAGTATTCAATTAGTTATAAATTCCTTTTAACAATCAGTTTTCAAAATACCCAACAAATCTATCAACTGGCGAGACCCGGCTACCGCTCAAACTTGGTGTGTCGCTTGGTGTGTCCACAGCCCTATGCATTCACGTGTGTCCCGAGGACCTCCCCTTGTGTATAAAAAAGGTGGCGTTTACAGAATACTGCTTGTAAGTCATTTATGTTCTTCTTTAACTTCAGTCTATAGTCTAGTTGTCTAAAAGCAACAGTGTTTCCTGGTCCATCTCCCCAGCCGCAAAAGAGAAATGGGGTACCTAATCAGTTGCACAACTGAATGCATTCAACCGAAATGCGTCTTCCGCGTTTAACCCAACCCCTCTGAATCAGAGAGGTGCTTGGGGCTGCCTTAATCTACATCGTCGGCGCCCGGGGAGCAATTTTTGGGGGTTAACTACCTTGCTCAAGGGCAGAACGTGTAACAATGACGCTGGGAGTCAGGAAGCAGGTGCAGGTGGTGAGTTTAATAATAATGACCCCCAATCCCCCCCCATGTCACAAATGTATCATTTGTACAGTTCTTTATAAAACATTTAGTTATTTGTTACATTTGACTGTGTAAAACCTAGCAGTACTGCTTATTTCACTGGGAGTGAGGTGGAAAGTACTCACATGTTGTTCTGTTACAGCTGGAATTTAAAATGGATAACATTTAGATTTTGTCTCTAAAATACCCCATCATTTCAAAGTGAAATTATGTTTTTAGATTTTTTTTACAGATTAATAAAAAATGAAAAGAGGAAATGTCTTGAGTTAATAAGTATTCAACCCCTTTGCTATGGCAAGCCTAAATAAGTTCAGGAGTAAAGATGTGCTTAACAAGTCACATAATAAGTTGCATGGAGTCACTGTGTGCAATAATAGAGTTTAACATGATTTTTGAATGACTACCTCATCTCTGTACCCCACATACAATTATCTGTAAGGCCCCTCAGTCGAGCAGTGAATTCCAAACACAGATTCAAACACAAAGACCAGGGAGGTTTTCCAATGCCTCGCAAAGAAGGGCACATATTGGTAGATGGGTAACATTTTTAAAAAGCAGATATTGAATATCCCTTTGAGCATGGTGAAGTTATTAATTACGCTTTGGATGGTGTATCAATACACCCAGTCACTACAAAGATACAGGCGTCCTTCCTAACTCAGTTGCCGGAAAGGAAGGAAACCCCTCAGTGATTTCACCATGAGGCCAGTGGTGACTTTAAAACAGTTACGGCAGTTAATGGCTGTGAAAGGAGAAAATTGAGGATGGATCAACATCATTGTAGTTACTCCAGAATACTAGCCTAAATGACAGAGTGAAAAGAAGGAAGCCTGTACAGAATAAAACATATTCCAAAACATGCATCCCCTGTTTGCAATAAGGCACTAAAGTAATACTGCACAAAAGTTGGCAAATAAATTAACTTTATGTCCTGTTTTGAGGGAGCATGCAATTGGCATGCTGACTGCAGGAATGTCAACCTGAACTGTTGCCAGAGAATTGAATGTTAACTTCTCTACAATAAGCCGCCTCTGCACAAACTGTCAGAAACCGTCTCAGGGAATCTCATCTGCGTGCTCGTCGTCCTCACCAGGGTCTTGCAGTTTGGCGTCGTAACAGACTTCAGTGGGCAAATGCTCACCTTTGATGGCCACTGTCACGCTGGAGAAGTGTGCTTTTCACGGATGAATCCTGGTTTCAACTGTACCGGGCAGATGGCAGACAGCGTGTATGGCGTCGTGTGGGCAAGCGGTTTGCTGATGTCAACGTTGTGAACAGAGTGCCCCGTGGTGGTGGTGGGGTTATGGTATGGGCAGGCATAAGCAAAGGACAACAGACAGAATTGCATTTTATCGATGGCAATTTGAATGCACAGAGATACCGTGACGAGATCCTGAGGCCCATTGTCGAGTCATTCATCCTCCTCCATCACCTCATGTTTCACCATGATAATGCACAGCCCCATGTCGCAAGGACCTGTACACAATTCCTGGAAGTTGAAAAGGTTCCAGTTCTTCCATGGCCTGCATACTCACCAGACATGTTACCCGTTGAGCATTTTTGGTAAGCTATGGATCGATGAGCACGCTAGCTTGTTCCAGTTCCCGCCACCATCCACCAACTTCGGACAGCCATTGAAGAGGAGTGGGACAACATTCCACAGGCCACAATCAACAGCCTGATCAACTCTATGTGAAGGAGATGTGTCGAGCTGCATGAGGCAAATGGTGGTCACACCAGATACTGACTGGTTTTCTGATCCACGCCCCTACCTTTTTATAAAGTATCTGTGACCAACAGATGCATATCTGTATTCCCAGTCATGTGAAATCCATAGATTAGGGCCTAATGAAGTTATTTAAATTGACTGATTTCCTTAAATGAACTGTAACTCAGTCAAATCTTTGAAATTGTTGCATGTTGCATTTATATTTTCGTTCAGTATTCATCTAAAATCTATGAATGAAAAATCTAAGAACAGTAATATTTTACGCACACATGAAGGTACCCAGAAGCAATAATTTCTGGAAGAAAAAAAATAACACATTTGTGAAATAGTTCTGGATATAGCGTTTTGTCTGTAGGCTACATGTGTGGCATGTTCAGCAGCACACAACGTTTTGGAACGTTCAGATAGAAATATGAAACTCAGAACATACTTGCCTCTCTGACATGTAGACCAAGGAATCATGTTGGCTCTATTCATGACATTTCTATCTGCAGCTTTCAACAACGGAATGTGGTCGTGATCTTGACGGTGGCAATAGCTCTTTACCTCACCCTAGTGGACAAGTTCTGGTATTACAATAAATGGCCATGGAGAATTTTATAGTGGCACTCCATTTCCCCCCCCCCCCCCCCCCACCTCATTTAACACCTGATTCAATAGGTGGCCCAGGTATGACATAGACAAGGTGGGGGGGGGGGGGGCTTTCCTCTTTTGTTCTCTATTGTTTCTCAAGCAAGGGGGGGGGGGATGCCGATGAAGTCACATCAGACCAACTCCTTGAATGCCCTACTCCTGCAGTTTTTTGTCCTAAAAAAATATAAACTATTTTTACCCATTAGTGTGTACTTTACTGCATTTATACTTGAGATATCACTTTTGCAACAGTAAAAGTTCAGAAATCACTGGAGGATGTCTTTAATACTAAACATTATGTCAACTTTCTCACTTGTTAAATTACAATCACATGAAAACAATAAACAATATTAAGCTACAAAAATACACAAATAAATAAATAAAACAAAAAATATCAAAAGTCTCAAAATACTACATACAAAAGTGGTCTCGAGCAAAAACATAGTAGCATGTGCGGTAACTTCATATATTGTTGACACAAGAACATTACATTTTAGTCATTTAGCAGACACTCTTATCCAGAGCGATTTGCAGTTAGTGAGTGCATACATTTTTCATACTGGCCCCCTGTGGGAAACAATCACACAACCCTGGCATTGCAAGCGCCATGCTCTACCAACTGAGCTACAGGGGTCTATAGAGGGTCTTTTGATTTACCAAAAAATAGAACATGCTTTTGTATTGTAGATCTCTTCTTTAGCTACATAGCATCACTTCATCTCTGCTCTCCTTTCCTTTTCACATTCCCTTCCGCATACTTGTTTAGATAAAGATGGTGTTCATTTTATTTTCACATGGTTAAAGTGGTTCCTACGCAACCATTGATCAGACTAAGGGTTACGGGCAACGCAACCACAATGTAAACACTGTAAAAACACACATATGAACACTCCTTTATATACAGTCTCTAAATATATACATCACAATGCACACTGACACCTGGTTTGATTGATTTAGCTGCAATGTGTAACAACCCCCCCGAGAAAGCTAAAACTAGTGCTAACGGCTATTACATTACGTTCACCTGTAATCCCTTGTTCCTCCTACAGAAATAGAATTAGTAGTTATATTTCTATGATTCTTACTTGGCCAACAAGATATGTCACACAGTACCATTTCTATCTGAGACCTTGTCCTTCACCAGCAGGACGTTATAGCTCCAGTAAACTGCTCCTCGGCTGCTAGTGTTGGTTACCGCTCTCAAAGAACATGAAATCCTGAAAAGAAACACAATAGAAAACATGCAATCACCATCACAGACATTTTCTGATCAACAAATACCATTGAGAATAGAATAGAGAATAGCGTAGCACATCATAGCATGAAATACAATACTAGACTTACGACGAGGAAACAGGCTCCGATCATCACAGCCTTCATCTTCACGTCTAGATCCATGGGGAACTGGATCCCAAAGTTATCAGCGTCCGTGAACGCCTCGCGGAGTAGACCGGTCCACTGCTTACTGATCTTCCCGATCTTATCCACTTCATCCATGGTCACTATCTGGAGAGGAGACAACGGTAGACTACAGTCAGTTTACACACAGACAGATGAAGCACCTTTTCTATTTTTACCTTCTGGGTGTTACTAGGTTGAAAATGATCAAATGGAGGAAATGGAGAACTTGTTAAATAGTACTTGTTTGGCTAGAATTCATTACATCGCAACATATTTGCTTTACTATTCTGCCTGCTGTCCAATCAAAGTCTCTTACATAATTCTAACATTTTGTTGTGAGGTCATCTTTAGTTTCTCCTGAAATAAATCTAAACTTTGAAGGAATTTGAATGGCAATATTGTCTCCATCATGGGTTCAATGTCTTAGAGCCAAACCGCCTTCAGAGCCTAATGCACCAGCATGCAAGAATGGCAACATTGTAACACTGTCCCACACAAACACACAATACATTGTCGGGGTCGGATGGATTCATTCACCCAGAACTCTTGTTGATTAGTAACATGTTTTACCTTGTTCAGAGAGAAACAGACAGGATGATGCCTTATGAAACCACACCAGGGTCCCCAGAACCAGTACATTTAACCATATTCTGTTTTCATAGATTTCATAATTTTCAGTGTGTGTTTGTGTGTGTATGTGTGTTTGGACAAACATACAGTGGTGTGAAAAAGTGTTTGCCCCCTTCCTGATTTCTTTGCATATTTGTCACATTTAAATGTTTCAGATCAAACAAATTTAAATATTAGTCAAAGATAACACAAAATGCAGTTTTGAAATGAAGGTTGTTATTATTAAGGGAAAACAACATCCAAACCCACATGGCCCTGTGTGAAAAAGGGTTTGCCCCCTACAACCTAATAACTGGTTGGGCCACCCTTAGCAGCAGCAACTGCAATCAAGCGTTTGCGATAACTTGCAATGAGTCTTTTACAGCGCTGTGGAGGAATTTTGGCCCACTCATCTTTGCAGAATTGTTGTAATTCAGCCACATTGGAGGGTTTTCGAGCATGAACTGCCTTTTTAAGGTCATGCCACAGCATCTCAATAGGATTCAGATCAGGACTTTGACTAGGCCACTCCAAAGTCCAAATTTAGTTTTTCTTCAGCCATTCAGAGGTGGACTTGCTGGTGTGTTTTGGATCATTGTCCTGCTGCAGAACCCAAGTTCGCTTCAGCTTGAGGTCACGAACGGATGGCCGGACATTCCCCTTCAGGATTTATTGGTAGACAGCAGAATTCATGGTTTCATTTATCACAGCAAGTCTTCCAGGTCCTGAAGCAGCAAAACAGGCCCAGACCATCACACTACCACCACCATATTTTACTGTTGGTATGATGTTCTTTTTCTGAAATGCGGTGTTACTTTTACGCCAGATGTAATGGGACACACACCTTCCAAAAAAGTTCAACTTTTGTTTCGTCAGTCCACAGAATATTTTCCCAAAGGTCTTGGTGATCATCAAGATGTTTTCTGGCAAAAATGAGACGAGCCTTAATGTTATTTTTGCTCAGCAGTGGTTTTCGTCTTGGAACTGCCATGCAGAACTCTTGCCCAGTCTCTTTCTTATGGTGGAGTCATGAACACTGACCTTAACTGAGGCAAGTGAGGCCTGCAGCTCTTTTGATGTTGTTGTGGGGTCTTTTGTGACCTCTTGGATGAGTCGTCGCTGCGCTCTGGGGGTAATTTTGGTTGGCCGGCCACTCCTGGGAAGGTTCACCACTGTTCCATGTTTTCGCCATTTGTGGATAATGGCTCTCACTGTGGTTCGCTGGAGTCCCAAAGCTTTAGAAATGGCTTTATAACCTTTTCCAGACTGATGGATCTCAATTACTTTCTTTCTCATTTGTTCCTGAATTTCTTTGGATCTCGGCATGATGTCTAGCTTGTGAGGATCTTTTGGTCTACTTCACTTTGTCAGGCAGGTCCTATTTAAGTGATTCCTTGATTGAGAACAGGTGTGGCAGTAATCAGGCCTGGGTGTGGCTAGAGGAATTGAACTCAGGTGTGATAAACATTTTGAGTTAAACCACAGTTGAGTTGTGTCATAACATGGGGGGGGGCAAACACTTTTTCCCACAGGGCCATGTGGGTTTGGATTTGGTTTTCCCTTAATAATAACAACCTTCATTTCAAAACTGCATTTTGTGTTTACTTGTGTTATCTTTGACTAATATTTAAATGTGTTTGATGATCTGAAACATTTAAGTGTGACAAACATGCAAACAAATAACAAATCAGGAAGGGGGCAAACACTTTCACACCACTGTACCTCAAAGTCAACGTCAGGCAAGCAACTCCAGCCACAGAAGGGTCCGTGCAGCCTCAGCACTGGCTCTCTGTGTTCATTCTCTATGATGAACTTCGGGGAGAAGGGGTGCCACTGCTGGACCACGTAGCCTACTGTGTTCCCTGGGGGGGCCTGCACCTCCAGCTGAGACAGGGGTGGTGGGGTATTAGAATAGAGAGGGGTGGTGGGGTAATAGAATAGAGAGGGGTGGTGGGGTAATAGAATAGAGAGGGGTGGTGGGGTAATAGAATAGAGAGGGGTGGTAGGGGGTATTAGAATAGAGAGGGGTGGTGGGGTAATAGAATAGAGAGGGTGGTGGGGTAATAGAATAGAGAGGGGTGGTAGGGTAATCGAATAGAGAGGGGTGGAGGGGTACTCGATGAGGGGGTGGAGGGGTAATACAATCGAGGGGTGTGGTGAGTCTTCGCTCGCGCGGGGTGGGCGGGTGCTAGCATAGGGGGGTGGCGGGGTTTACTAGATAGAGGGGGTGGATGGGGTGCGGCCGATAGAAGGGGTGGAGGGTGGAGGGGTACTCCATACAGGGAGGGGTGGTGGGGTACTCGACTAGCGGGGTAGGTACTGGAGGGGTGGTATGGGTCTAGAATGGAGGGGTGGTGGGGTAGTCACATAGCAGAGGGGTGGTGGGGTCTCGCTCGCGAGGGGTGGTAGGGTCTTGAATAGAGGGGGTGGTGGGGTACTAGCCTCGCGCGGGTGGTGGGGTCCTCGCCTCGCGCGGGTGGTCGGGTCCTCGCCTCGCGCGGGGTGGGGTCCTCGCCTCGCGCGGGGTGGCGGGGTCCTCGCCTCGCGCGGGTGGTGGGTCTTCGCCTCGCGCGGGGTGCGGGTCCTCGCTCGCGCGGGTGGTGGGTCTTCGCCTCGCGCGGGGTGGCGGGGTCTCGCCTCGCGCGGGGTGGTGGGGTCTCGCCTCCGCGGGTGGTGGGGTCTTCGCCTCGCGCGGGGTGGTGGGTCCTCGCCTCGCGCGGGGTGGTCGGGGTCTTGCCTCGCGCGGGGTGGTGGGGTCCTCGCTCGCGCGGGGTGTGGGTCCTCGCCTCGCGGGGTGGTCGGGTCCTCGCCTCGCGCGGGTGGCGGGTCCTCGCCTCGCGCGGGGTGGCGGGGTCCTCGCCTCGCGCGGGGTGGTGGGGTCTTCGCCTCGCGCGGGGTGGCGGGGTCCTCGCCTGCGCGGGGTGGTGGGGTCTTCGCCTCGCGGGGTGGCGGGGTCCTCGCCTCGCGCGCGCGGGTGGTGGGGTCCTCGCCTCGCGCGGGTGTGGGGTCTTCGCCTCGCGCGGGGTGGTGGGTCCTCGCCTCGCGCGGGGTGGTCGGGGTCTTCGCCCCGCGGGGTGGTGGGGTCTTCGCCTCGCGCGGGGTGGCGGGGTCCTCGCCTCGCGCGGGGTGGCGGGGTCCTCGCCTCGCGCGGGTGGGGGGTCCTCGCTCGCGCGGGGTGGCGGGGTCTCGCCTCGCGCGGGTGGTGGGGTCTTCGCCTCGCGCGGGGTGCGGGTCCTCGCCTCGCGCGGGGTGGTGGGTCCTCGCCTCGCGCGGGTGGTGGGGTCCTCGCCTCGCGGGGTGGTGGGTCCTCGCCTCGCGCGGGGTGGTGGGGTCCTCGCCTCGCGCGGGGTGGCGGGGTCCTCGCCTCGCGGGGGTGGTGGGGTCCTCGCCTCCGCGGGGTGGCGGGTCCTCGCCTCGCGCGTGTGGTCGGGTCCTCGCCTCGCGCGGGGTGGTCGGGTCCTCGCCTCGGGCGGGGTGGTGGGTCCTCGCCTCGCCGCGGGTGGCGGGGTCCTCGCCTCGCGCGGGGTGGCGGGGTCCTCGCCTCGCGCGGGGTGGTCGGGTCCTCGCCTCGCGCGGGGTGGTGGGGTCATCCTCAGCGGGGTGGTTGGTGGGGCAGGGAGTGGAGTGCAGCGTCAGTTGTGTTCGCATAGTGGACCAGTGGACTGGTGTTTGCCTCGTGGCGCCGGTTCTTTGGTGTTTGCATCGTGGCCGGTCGTTGGTGTTTGCCTCGTGGCGCCGGTGTTTGGTGTTTGCTCGTGCGCCGGTTGTTGGTGTTTGCCTCGTGGCGCCGGTGCTGGTGTTTGCCTCGTGGCCGCGTGGGTTGGTGTTTGCCTCGTGGCGCCGGTTCTTTGGTGTTTGCCTCGTGGCGCCGGTCGTTGGTGTTTGCCTCGTGGCGCCGGTGTTGGTGTTTGCCTCGTGGCGCCGGTGCTTGGTGTTTGCCTCGTGGAGAAGGTGGGTTGGTGTTTGAAAAATGGAGAAGTAAACAGGAACATTGTGAAGGGGGGTTAAGAAGGAAGGAAGGAAGGAAGGAAGGAAGGAAGGAAGGAAGGAAGGAAGGAAGGAAGGAAGGAAGGAAGGAAGGAAGGAAGGAAGGAAGGAAGGAAGGAAGGAAGGAAGGAAGGAAGGAAGGAAGGAAGGAAGGAAGGAAGGAAGGAAGGAAGGAAACAAACAAACATGAAAGTTAAAGAACAATATCATTGAAATGAGCCATGAGTTGGTCTCTGTGATGAGACATAAAGCTGCAATTCTTTAGGTGTAATACATTTAGAAAGGGGACCTGCCCTGTTATAGGGAAGAGTCCCAGAGACTAAAGGCAGCTCACCTCTTGCAGACAGCAGGGGAAGAAACAGGACATGCACTTTAGAGGTCTGGTGACTGTGATGACCTCCTGTCCAAAGTTGTCAAGGACTTTTATTGTGAAGGATCGTAGGGGTCCGCAGCACTGCCTGCTCAGACAGTCATTCTCCTCCACAGCATAGAACACGTTCTGGCCCATGGCATTACGCACCTCATACTTGTTGTTGCTCTCAAAGCCAGCCAGGGCTGTGGGAATACAACACATCATTTTGTAGTGGTTTATTTAACCTTGATTTAAACAGGGAGTCACCATTGAGCCCAGTGTCTCTTTCACAAGCGAGCGCTGATTATACAATTCATAAAGCCCAATACAATCAAGGGCAGGGGACATGATGGATACACACACACAGACACAGACACACACACACACACAGACACGCACACACACACACACACACACACACATACACGCACACACACACACACAAACACATACACGCACACACATACACACACACACACACAAACACATACACGCACACACACACACACACATACACGCACACACACACAAACACATACACGCACACACATACACACACACACAAACACATACACGCACACACACACACATACACGCACACAAACACATACACGCACACGCACACACATACACACAAACACATACACGCACACAAACACATACACGCACACGCACACACACACAAACACAGACACGCACACGCACACACACACATACACGCACACACACACAAACACAGACACGCACACACACACATTCACGCACACACACACACACAAATCTCAAATCTATGAAGACCATCATCAAAATAGTAATTCTTGTTTTTGTAAATTATTTTTGTACATACCTTCAATAAACTCGACTTTCTGTTTGATGAGTAGCTGATCAACCTAAATCATTGACAAGACAAGAGAAAGGTACAAACAATATCAGTCGATGTTCTACAGGTCTAAATTAATCCGAATCACGGAACAGGACGAGAGGACTCACCTGTGTTAGATATTCTAACCCGGGTGGGCATCCCGGCAGGCCAGGGTTGGGGACCTGGTACATATTCATCTTAACAGAAGCAGGTCCTAGCTGCTATTCAACTGTAGAAAAATGGTTACAACGTTATGAATGGCAACAAAGACTATCTGGCGCCACCTAGTGTTTCGATTTACAAGATAAACACAATTCCATAAATAAAAACGTACACAAATGATACAATGTATCGTTTTATTGTAGTCTTGTGTTTCGTATCCTCATAGACTGCACATGTAAATACAACCAACAGGCTAATAGCCTAAACGGTGTTCTCATGGTGAATGTCAGCAGGTGTAGTCTACTGCGCACTGTATTAACATCCCAATAAACCGATATAGGCTACCTATGCGTTTTTATAAATGAAAGAATAAACTGACAATTCTTCTCTGACCATAGGCTATATATCTTGGAAGTGAAAGGGTTTTAGCTGACAAGTCGGTAAGCAAGCAACAAATGGCGATCCCTTTTACTAAGCCGCTATAGTAGTAGCCTACAGTGTGACATGGCCCATATGCATTAAGCTTTCTGCATCTCAACAATGCGTGACCCAAAGTAGGATCCAAGTAAATTGGTTTGTACTTATCTACCTGTGTAGATCTATGCAGACCTGTGCAGATCTATCTATCTGTCTGAGTTCAGTTTAAAACGCACTCAATGACGAATAGGTAGAACACTGTTCAATTCAAATCTGGGAGGATTCGGGGAACGATAGCCTATTAGACTATAACAACGACACGGAATGATGAATTGACCTTTTGTGATAACAGCGGGATAAATAAAGCGGGATAAATAAAGCATGGTAAACCACGAATGTTTAATCTACTCTAAAGACTCACCCATATATTCTGGAAGAAAAATATAACAGTCCGCTTCACGAGCTCAGTATTAAACCTTTCATCTCATTGGACAATGTAGATGTCTTTCCCACCCGCATCAGCCAATGGTAAGCCGAGGCTGTGAATACCAGGAAGTATTTTCTGTCACGCGTTTTATTGTCATTACAGCGCATGCTCGTCTAGCCAGAGGTCTAAATTGGTTTTATGGTTTTACCACTATTGTCCTGAAGTATTTTGTGGTGTGATTTTATGAGATACAATTTGCCAATGCATGTAGAAGCCTAATCAACAGGCAATTATTAAAATATTATAATAATATTAAAATATGTTTTGATAATATTAACTCCTGTTCTTCGTGTTATTCATTAGGGTGACTTACAGACTGTAGAATAGTGGACCCTGATAAAGAATAAAGCTACAGCCAAGGAAGGGGATCCGCGCTAGGTCTAAATGCTTGAATACGAAAAAAATGAAAAACAGTGTGCATGATGAAAAAAAGAAAAAAACGTTATTGTAAAGTAAAAATGGCTCATTGAAAGCTGAAAATTATAAAATAAAAGTTTAAACATAAAAGTTGAAAGGTCAAAATCAAAGTGAAAATCGAAACAACAATCACGGCTCGTTACACAGGTAACCAACAGGTAGGCTATTGTTTCATGTGTAGCAAAAGTAAGCAACGGATTAATCTTTATCTTCAGCCCTGATAAGGCCTTTGTCATTAAGCCAGCAGGATAGTTAGGATGGATAGTTTGGTTGGATAGTTAGGATGGATAGTTAGGATGGATAGTTAGGATGGATAGTTAGGATGGATAGTTAGGATGGATAGTTTGGTTGGATAGTTAGGATGGATAGTTAGGTTGGATAGTTAGGATGGATAGTTAGGATGGATAGTTAGGATGGATAGTTAGGTTGGATAGTTTGGATGGATAGTTAGGATGGATAGTTAGGATGGATAGTTAGGATGGATAGTTAGGATGGATAGTTAGGATGGATAGTTTGGTTGGATAGTTAGGATGGATAGTTTGGTTGGATAGTTAGGATGGATAGTTAGGATGGATAGTTTGGTTGGATGTCACCTGGTGGTCATTCATCCATCCTGTCGGTGCCTTGTCAATAACATGTCTCCAAAACTGAGGAAAGGTGGCTCCAATGGTGTGTACATTTTCCCATTGGGATGTGTATAATGCTACTGTAGTCGCTTTACGGTAACATACTGTACTCTTACTGTAAAGCCTTATTTGCATATTTCCCAGAGGGCCTTGCCGTTCTAATGAATTGTAGAGCTACCACCCATGACTGTATTTGTTAGTGACAGAGAGATGGTTGTTGCGTTCATCCATGTTCAATCCTGTGGCCTTCACCATGTGAGATCCTAAGCAAATGTTATCATGACAATTAAATAATTTAACACAATATGTATTTCATAAGGCCTTGTTTTGAGGGCCTAGTTTTACTCTTATACAGTGGCCTGAAAGTCTAGGTTTACATCAGGCCTGCAAGTAGGGTTGCAAAATTATGCTACCTTTCCAAAAATGTTCAGTATTTGCAGAAATTAGGGAGGAATCTTCCAACCGGGATTTCTGGAAAACCTGGGAATTTTGGAAAAGGTACCAGAATTTTGCAACCCCTACCTGCAAGTCACATCATGCTGGTTTGCAAATGCATGTGTAATTCCTGTTGGAATCCAGCCAGAGTTAGGATATCCAACAGTTGGAATATATTCACTGGCAACATGCATTCAGCATCACTGCCATGGTTAAGGTGCTCAGACGGGCCGCGATAAATGGCAATTGAACAGTGAGAAAATCCGCCTTCCGCGTATAGAGACCAGCGGCCCCGATTATTGTCAGCTCGAATGCTGTCATTAAAACATTGTTTGATTGGTTGACAACGTACGGCGGCCGAGCGCTTTGGCAGCAGTGCCACTCACAGAAGCCAGCACCACGAACCACACCGCTTGCGAAACTGTTCGCTTTTAACTGCCCACTGCCCTACTCCCATTGACATCTTAGAGACCTTCGCCACTTACCGCACTCCGTCTGTAAGCTTCTTCACAGACATTCTGAGGTGACTACATAAGCCATTTAAAATGGAACAACCATTTCAGTAATGGGTGCAAAAAATCGAACTGACTGATTGGATTAGTTTAGAAACATGCATGTTATTTATCTTTGTGTAGCATAAGATTAATCAATCAATGTACAGACAAAAATACAGATATTAAATACAATTCTAAAAAAAACTACCTGCAGTAGAGCATGCTGGGAAATATGATAATGATTAGAGTTGTTTTACAGGAACTTACAGGTAACTGTTTTTTATAATATAAAACAGCATGACCACAAACAAAGCAATGTATATAAAATAACAAAACAGGTACCAATTAACTAAGACTAAAATATTACATTTATAATAATTTGCCTATAAAACTTAATATTTTTGCTTCAGAGGATGAGCTTTGATTTTGTTGTCTTTGTGCTTTTTGTGTGGCATTCTATTTTGAAAATTCACAAATTGTCACAAGTGTGCAGCCGTCGAGGACCTCCCTTCACATCTGTTCGATCAAAGTGGGTATGAGAGGCAGGGGATCACTGAATTTAACCGTAGCCTTATTCAGTGTCTGGTAATTGATACAGGGGCAAGAGACCTACGTCCTTCTTCTTCATGAAAAATAAGCTGGAAGAGGCCGGAGAAGTGGACGGACGGAGGAATCCGTGGGGATGGGGACGTGGGTGGCCTGGTCTGGACTTTCCACGGAGGTGGCACAGATAGACACAGACACATCCCATGACACTCCTGCGACCGACCCAACAACCTCCTCTCTGTCCACGATACACTGGGGTAATGCAACTGTAACCAGGGGAGACCTAAAACTACGGGGTGTGCAGGAGAGTCTAAGATGAGGAACATGATGCGTTCATTGTGGTTGTGATCAACTGTGAGGGAAATGGGAATCGTGGTCTGGCTCACCAGTCCTGTTCCTAGGGGACGGTTGTCTAGGGCATGGACTGGGCTACGGGGTTGTAAAGGGAGGAATGCGGAATTATAAGGCCACTGACCGGTCTAGGTGCCTGCAGCACCTGAGTCCACTAGGGCCAGGACACTCCGGGAAGGTGACAGGGAGGAGGACAGGCTGGGTGGACAGAGAGGAGCAAGGCACGTCCACGCCTACCTGGGAAGGTGCAGGAGCGCTCCTCGGCCTGTCGCTTCCTGGCCTGGTTCTCCTTCTGGGACAGGTGTTCCAGGGGTGGTCCGACTCCCCGCAGTAGGAGCAGAGACCCTGTTGACGGCGGCGTTGACGTTCCTCTGGGGGAAGGTGTGTCGTGCCCACCTCCATGGGCTCAGTCTCGCTGGAGGTTCATGGGAGAGACCCGAACCCCTGAGATGGGCGACGACGGGCACGCAGGAGATTATCCAGGCGGATGGCCATGGCGTTGAGCTGGTCCAGCGTGAGGTCCTCATCGCGACAGGCCAGCTCGGTCTGGACGTCCGCCTGTAGGCCGCTGAGGAAAACCGTCAACAGGGCCTGGTAGTTCCAGCCAGTGGACGCAGCCACTGTCCGGAAATCCAGAGCTTACTCAGACGCTGTCATGGAGCCTTGGCGCAGACAGAGGAGGTGCTCACCTCTTTCTCGGCCCTCTGTTGGATGGTCGAAAACGGCACAGAAGATTTGGGTGAAGTGCTCATAGGACTGTACTTCTGGACCGTCCCTCTCCCAGACGGCGTGCGCCCACTCCAGAGCCCGGCCTGTCAGCACCGAGATCACCAAGGCCACCTTGTCCCTCTCGGAGGCCGTCCCGGCATGACATGCAAGGTGGAGGTCACACTGCAGGAGAAACCCCCTAGAGTGAGCTGGGGTGCCGTCAAACCGCTCCGGGAGGGGCAGGTGGACGTTGCTGATCGGACCGGGTGATGTAGATGGTGGTGGGGTGGCTGGAACGACCTTGAGGAGCTGGGAAGATGGAGGTTTAGCCTGCAGTTGGCGTACGGTCCGAGTCACCTCGTCCATGGCAGTCCCGAGGTGCTCCGGGCACGGAGAGGTCGGGAAGTCTAGCTGCCTCCTGTTTTCATTCTGTCAGGTGTAGACAGGAGGAGGCAGGAGGAGGCAGGAGGCAGGAGGCAGTCACAGGTTTAGAACTACTGCATTTATTAAAGCACCATAGCTTAAACCGGGACGAAACCCACAGTGCAAAATATAAAGTACTTAGGAATATGTAGGAGAGATTCCTCTCAGGAAAACAAGCAACATATACAAAGACCAACAAAGACAAATGGCAGAGGGAGTATATATACATTGATAGAGTGGGGATTGGAACCAGGTGTGTGTGATGATGACAAGACAAGTCCGGGGGGTTGATGAGTGAAGGGCGTTTGCCAGCAGCAGGTTCGGCAGCAGCTAGAAGGCCGGGGTTGATGAGTGAAGGGCGTTTGCCAGCAGCAGGTTCGGCAGCAGCTAGAAGGCTGGCGACGCCGAACGCCTGAGCTGGACAGGAGGGGGAGTGAACTGCTTTTATGTTTTAAGTAGTACTTTATACGGTAACTTTCAAAAGACATCAAATATTTCCCGGCCTTTTAATTTTTCCCCACAATGCAATTTCATTTACGGTAATCTACTGTATTCTGTTTATGCAGTATTACTGTTGATTATACAGTCATTAACTCTCATTAACACATTAACTCAGCCATAGTAGTATGGCACCCCTGGAGCAAATTAGGGTTAAGTGCCTTGCTCAAGGGCACTTATCGTACTACTATGGCTGACCCTGTAAAACAACACCTATCATTCTACTATGGCTGACCCTGTAAAACAACACCTATCATACTACTATGGCTGACCCTGTAAAACAACACCTATCATACTACTATGGCTGACCCTGTAAAACAACACCTATCATACTACTATGGCTGACCCTGTAAAACAACACCTATCATACTACTATGGCTGACCCTGTAAAACAACACCTATCATACTACTATGGCTGACCCTGTAAAACAACACCTATCATTCTACCATGGCTGACCCTGTAAAACAACACCTATCATACTACTATGGCT